ATTGCATTCCATCATTGGATGGGTTTTCTGAAAGTTAAATGATTCCCTTGCAAGTGGTTAGCCTGGAGTTCCAATGGTTAACCTTATGCAAAATATATAAGTAGCAAGAAATTCCATCTCCCATGCCAACAGGTTAACATGACACTGTTATGACACTGTTCTCCATTTCTCCTGTGTCCTTAAAGGCTGTTTTTTTAAATGTCCAGGATACTGCCATTAGTATTTCTTATGAGTAATGAAAGAATGTCCTAACCTGGCGGGGCGGGGGGGGGGGGGAATGTTTCATGGTTTGTGACTGGGTTGCTGGTGTAGTTTTCAGCAGCCTCCTCTGAGGAAACTAATTATGTAAAACTGATGACCCCTGTGAGAATTTATTACTTGAGGCGCTGGATCCATTCAGCCCCAACTTTGTCTTTTGGTCTTATCCCAGATCTCTAAGCCATGTTAGCCAGTAAATTCCTCTCTCTTTTTACTCCTCCCTTTCCTTTGATGGACACTACATGTCTACACTTGCCTCCGGAGCGATCAATCCACCAGGGGTCGATTTATCGCGTCTAGTGAAGACGCGATAAATCGACCGCCAAGCACTCTCCCGTCGACTCTGGTACGCCGGAGTTGACGGGGGAGTGTCAGCAGTCAACTTGCTGCAGTGAAGACACCATAGTAAGTAGATCTAAGTACGTCGACTTCAGCTACGTTATTCACGTAGCTGAAGTTTCGTAACTTCGATCGATCCCCACCTCCAGTGTAGACCAGGCCTAAGTATTCTGGCCACAGGTGATAGGCCAGATTGAGACAGAGGGCTCAAATCTCAAGTGCAGCCCTGCTGTTTGTACGTTTTTAGAACAGTGGTGGTGGAAGCCCATCTGTAATTCCATCCACCAGACGCACAGGTGACTCGGACGTCCTTTTTTATTTTCAAAGCGAGATTCCCAAACTTTCCTGAGATGATACAGTAAATTCATGCACCCTTTTGAAATATCAGAGCTTTTGAAAATATATTGTTTGGAAATATTCTTACAGTCGTATCTTTTTTCTGTTTATATTAGAGGTAAAGAAGAAAGCTGGCTTTATCACTCCAGTCCCGGGAGGCGTAGGACCTATGACTGTTGCCATGCTCTTGAAGAACACGCTCGTTACTGCTAAAAAGCTCGTTTACTAGAGAGCTACTGCTACACTAAAAAATGAATCCAAGTCATTCTATTTATTGATACATAAAACATTTATTTTTTACTACAAATATATTTATTTCTACATTGTATTTATTTTTTCATGTAAAATATTATGAATCTGATGATGATTTACAAAATGTTGCAATACCTTCTGTTACCTCCTGCAGCTGAATTGTGAGTAAAACAAAGTGCAGTCACAGCTGTCACATGTGTATTGTTGTTCTGTGGGTCAATCTTGTTTATAAAAAAAAATGACTAAGATGCTTTTGAAAATTTTACTCTTAAGTCCTATTTTCAAAAGTGACTTAGTCAGTTAGGACCCTAAACTTCATTGAACGTTAATGACGCTTAAGCTCCTAAATGCTCAATCACTTTTTGAAAATTGAACTTAGGCTCCCAAGTCACTTATACACTTTTGAAAAATTTATTCTAAATCTTGAATTCCTTGCAAATCCAAAACTTCTGTTGATGTCAGTAGGAATTTTGCATGCCCAAGTAATGCAAGATTCAAACCTAAGATTCAACTGCATGCCAGTCATGCTGAAATCATAAAGGTAAATCATAAAGCTCACATTCAGCATGTAGATTTTTTTATATTAAAATAAGCTTACACACAAAAGGCCAAATTCTGACCTTATCTACATACCCAGAAGTCAGTGGGAGCTACGTGCACTAGAATGGAAACCAGAATTTGTCTCCTTCACAATCCAGGCTTCGTTAGCCAAATGTGTTGCTACACATGCAGTGTGTTGTGTTTCTTTTTAAGCATGCTCAGTGTTTGATATGCCCTGATCCTACGATGTGACCATGTATGGATCACTTAGCAGGATCAGGACTGGGATTAATAAGTCTATAGTAAAACCTACTATAGAAATGTGTCATTGGTAACATAAAAGGGGAGGAAAAGATCATCCAGAATGAAATAGTTGTGTTAAAACTATGAACTGCATTCCCTCTTGCCTCCTATGATCAATTTATGTTCTTAGTCTCTGCCATAAGGCCCAATCCTGGTCCCATGGGAGTTTTGCTATTCACTTCAGTGACCACAGAAGAGTGACATTGGGAAGAGGACACTACTGCTATAAAAATAAGAGGCAAACTTGGGAGAATGGGAAATATTTATCTGTATTTAAAGAAGGAATAAAAATGTTGATGCTCACTTATTCATTCAATGAGAGAGAGAGTCAGTTCAAAAACTGGATTAGAGTAATCAAATGCGATGTAAAATTAAAATGGGAATGCCAGTGAATACCAATAATAAGCCATTCTGATGATGACTGCATATATTATTAACACTGAGGGCCCACTCCAGCTCCGACTGACGTCAGTTGGTGTCAGATTGGGCCATTGTTTACATCTCTGAATTTCAGTAGAGAGGGTTTTGATTATTTACTCTAATCAAGAGCCATTGATGCTTGCCAGTAGTTTGTAGATTGCCTGAATGAAAAAAGCCCAAATATAATGCTGAATATTTCTTCAATTACAAAAATGTACTTTCTACAATAAAAAAAAGTTGGAAAGTTACATTTGTACTGATTTTTCTTATGACAATTTTGTCTGTTTCGTTTTTAAACACCAAATACCTGCTATTTTCGTTAAATGTACATAAAATACAAAAATGAAAAGTAAAAGTATTGATATTTCTGCTAACATTTTTCTACATATTTAGAAAAATTAATGGTGGCCAAAATAGTCTAAACCAAGGAAGTAAATAAAACTGTGGTGCCAAATGAACGGAATAAAATGATCATTTCTGTAATGTGTTTTTTACAGGAAGAACATTTGAAGCCTGAGGCATAAACCGTGTCAACAACCATGTACAAATAATGTCCCAGTCCTGCATACACATAGGCTTTGTCTACACTAGCACTTTTGTCAGTCAGGGCTGTGAAAAAACATACCCCCAGACCATCACAGGTTTCACCAACAAAAGCGCTGGTGTGGACAGCGCTATGTTAGCGGGAGATGCTCTTCTGCCAACATAGCTACCGCTGTATTTAATTATGCCGGCAGGAGAGCGGCTACACAGAGACCTTACAGCGACACAGCTGCAGCAGTACAGTTGTGCAGACATAGCCTTAGGCACGTGCTTAAATTTAAACACAGACATAAGTGTTTGCAGGATCAGGGTATAAGGATACAATCCTATTGAACCTATTGATAATGAAGAAGCCACCTTGTGGGTACTGGTACAATTAAGTTCCTATTGTGTGGGTGGGTGAATGGATGGATAGCTATAGAAAATAAAGCTCGCTTGATCCAGCTATCCTCCTGAATTGTGATTTGTTAGCAAGGGTTACCCACCTAGGCATAAAACACAAGCTGCACCCCACGAATGTGCAGGTGTGCAGTGACTCAGCACACCTGACAAAGATCAAAACCTCCTGGCTGTAATGCATTCCCAGGAGAGTGAATTGAATGGGCTAGGCTATCACACCATTTGCCTCCTGATAAGTGAAGCTCCTGGATCTAATCCGATGGGTCACTGAGAGGAACACAACACAGAGGAATAACCTGACACAGTGAGACACATTAGAGATGTACCACAGTATCCTTACATTGTGAAATGTTAGTCCCTCCCTCTAGCTCTCTGTTGAGAAAGTGGAAGTGGCTGCTTATGTTCTGTGAGCATAACAATGTGTGAGAGTTAGGGCAATGGGACTACTTGCATGTACAAGTGCTTTGCTGGACCAGGGACTGCTGATTAAATTAGTGACCCTGGGAGGGACCACTCCTACTTGTAAACACTAATAGAAATGTAACTGATGTTGTACTATCTTTCAGGTATCTTCTTAGGTACCGATATGGCTTTTGACGCCCCTTTGGCCTGAGCTGTTAGCCAATATGGAGGGCCTTGCAGGATTGTTTCCATTAGAAAGAGCAATGAGTGATAGGAGTGAGGTATATTTGTCAGTGCAACCCTGTTTATTTACAAAGAAGGTAAACAGAGTCCTGTTTCCCTGCACACAATAGAAAAAAACAGGAAGAATCAGTTTTCTTCCTCACAATTTCCAAGTCTACCTTCCTGCCCAATAGTCTGCCCAAAGAGAAGCCCTCTTGGTTTCCTTTCACAGCCATGCTACCAGTTCTTCTCTGGCTTTCCCCAGGTTTTCTGCTCACCCCCATAGCGCCAACCAAAGAATGCCCCAACCCCTGCATTTTCAATCAGTTCCAAGGAAACCTCTTGGCATGCATGGCTAAGCCTCTGCCCAGGCCTTATGTGCAGCCAGTACCTTGGGTGGTGGTCTCCCATTGTTTCAGCTATCACTAAACAAAGAGACATTTCATTGCTCCCTTTTTAGCCTGAATGAGAGGTGGCTAGCACACCCATCAGCTTCAGTGAGGGCTGTGTCTTCTAAGTTCTCAGCTAGTGCCTTAACCATTGGCCAATCCTTCCTCTCTAGGAATAATATAAGCCCCCCAAAATACAAGCCACACAGAAAATATCTCTCATTTGTAAGTAGTACATACGTTTAGTTTCACTGACTTTTGCTTCATTGTATCTTGTTACTCTGCTTTGACAGATACCAGGTTTCTCCATAAAACAGTGTCCTTGCATGCACAATTATGCCTACAGGTAATAGGAAACGGGTGTTTCAAAAGAAAACCCGAGCAGATTGCTAGGTAATGATAGTTTCCTAAATGAATGTGTGGTTGCCCTGAGGCTTTAGGTTGTTGCCAGATGCACGTTTTTTTTTTTTATTGGTCAGAACAGCAGGCGACGCTTTATGGTATATAAGTGCAAGGAAGGCACATGAGCACAGGTAAGCAGAACAACCCAGCTCTCTGGAAAGAAGCGAAGAAAACGCTGTTAATCTGCTGCTAGATATGGCATTTGGAATGCTAATATATATTTTGCTAAGAGGTAGGTTTATTGGGGTTTTTATTGGTGTCTTATAGACATAGGGTTTTGTATTTATACATTTGTTTAAGAAAAGTTCACTCATATTTTCTGTAATAAGCAGTGGGGAAAAAAATCCAAAAAGCTCAAAGGAATTCAGAAACAAAATTAGTTTCAATAGTTTCTGACTTCACTGAATTTTTGGATAGATATGATTTCATTTCGCATCATTTTAAAGAGTATCTATCAGTAGATATGCCTTATATAGCACGTTATAATGAACTGTATTGTGTACAATATCAAGTAATTACAATGGGATTTATAACAGCATGGATATGTATTCTGAGACTATACAAACAGTAGCTCGTTTTCTGTTCCCCACCGTCATAACTAAGTTGTGACAAAAGGAATTCAAAGAGGCAAGAACATAATAAAAAGAAATCCTCATTATTTAAATTTAGGCATTCAGCCGTCCATTTAATGGACACATTTGTACAGATGAAATAAGCTTCATGCAAAAGTGTTTTCCTGCTAAAGCCAATATGTGTTTGCATTCTACAGCAATGGTAGCGCTGGGTGAAGAGGCCGCTATTACTGTTTCGTCGCTAACCACAGACATATGGAATAGCTGGGCAAAAAACAACACAGAAGGTATTTCTGCTCTGCTCTGTATTGTCTCAAATAAGCATTTGTAGACTGAAAAAAAAATCCTATCTACTGAGTGTAGCTGAATTGATAACTACTCTTAACGTGACTGTCCTTTAGTCAAATGGTAGCGTTTATTGTAATGCGAACATTTCTCTGCTAGTTTCAGAGGGGTAGCCCTGTTAGTTTGTATCAGTAAAAACCAGGAGTCCTTGTGGCACTTTAGAGACTAACAAATTATTTGGGCATAAGCTTTCGTGGGATATAACCCACTTCATCTGATGCATGGAGTGGAAAATACAGTAGCAGGTATAAATATACAGCACGTGAAAAGATGGGAGTTGCCTTAACAAGTGGAGTTGTCAGTGCTAACAAGGCCAATTCCCAACAGTTGACAAGAAGGGGTGAATATCAACAGAGGGAAAATTACTTTTTGTAGTGTAATCAGGCCAATTCAATCAAAGTGGATGTGGCCCATTCCCAGCAGTTGACAAGAAGGTCTGAGTATCAACAGAGAGAAAATTATTTTTTGTAGTGACTGGCAGTGGCTGGGTCACTACAAAAAAATAATTTCCCCTCTGTTGATACTTATCCCAAGTTATGCAGGAGGGGGAAGGGCTCCAGCTGGGGGTGTAGGCTCTGGGGTGGGGCTGGAGATGAGTTTGGGGTGTAGGAGGGTGCTCTGGGCTGGGACCGAGGGGTTTGGAGAGTGGGAGGGGGATCAGGGCTGGGGCAGGGGGTTGGGGCGCAGGGGTGCAGGCTCCGGGCGGCGCTTACCTCAAGTGGCTTCCAGAAGCAGCAGCATGTCCCTTCTGCGGCTCCTACGCGGAGGCGCGGCCAGGCAGCTCTGCCTCATCCGCAGGCACCACCCCTGCAGTTCCCATTCGCCGTGGTTCCCAGCAAATGAGAGCTGTGGGGGCAGTGTTCAGAGCAGAGCCTCCTGGCTGCCCCTATGCGTAGGAGCCTGAGGAGGGCCATGCCGCTGCTTCCGGGAGCCGCGTGTAGTGGCCCGCGACCCTGCTCCCCGGCAGGAGCACCGGAGTGGGGCAAGCCCCAGACCCCGCTCCCCAACAGGAGCTCAAGGGCCAGATTAAAACAGCTGGTGGGCCGTACTTTGCCCTCCCCTGATGTAGATGGAGCCCATGATGTGGCCTAGAGTGTTTCTCTGTGACATGGGTGTTCTTCCAGCATTGGATAAAGAAGAAAAAATGGTGCTCTTTGGTGTCACAGGGCTGTAGACATTTATGTTGTGATTCATTGACTAGCCTTGCTGTCTGAAATACTGGTTGTACTAGAGAGAGACAATTTATTATGGGCCAGATTTTTACAAATGAGAGGTTCACTTGCATGAACAAAGTCACATGGGCAGCTATACCACCTCAATGTGCACTTGCTGTCGTTACGGATATAAAATGGATATTTGCAGTCAGCGAGACGATGGCTTTAACAATTGCTCACAAATACAGGCATGCAATTGCACATTGGGTTTGCAGATACAAGTATCAGAGCTGTAGCCGTGTTAATCTGTATCAGCAAAAACAACAAGGAGTCCTTGTGGCACCTTAGAGACTAACAAATTTATTTGGGCATAAGCTTTCGTGGACTAAAACCCACTTCATCGGAGTCCTCTGCTTTTAAAAACTGTAACCCTTTAAGAGTTGGAAGACTGGACTTCGGGGTGGAAGGAAGTGTTTAAAGACTCTTGTGTGAAACTGGCCACATCCTTTCACTCCATTCTTGCAGCTTCCATTTCTAGGCAGGTGGAACAGTCATTAAATACTGAAGTAAGGAAGCTCATAATTAAAACATGTTAATAACAAACCCTTAGGAAATTAATTAACTCCCAAGCGAATGCCAGGTTGGAAATGGCACTATCCTGTGGGATTGTGGATCCAGGCAAGAGTGAGCTGAGTCCCACACCCATCAGCCAGGAACCTTCCTCCTTCCCTAGTCCGCATGTCGTATACAGTCATCCTCAACTGCAAAAATTAGGGGCTGGTGGGTCACCTTGAGTGGCAAGGTCAGCGGGAGGAAAGAAACAATATGGAGAGACGGGAGGCTGGGCTGGCAGCTGCCTGGAAGTTGATAGGGAATATGAGAATTTCTTCCTGCCTGAGGGGGACGTCTTCCAATGTTCGGCAGGAAGGAATTGGGGAGATAGGAAGGGTCTTGTTTTACTCAGAGTGGGACAGAACTGGGAGAGAGTTAGAAGAGCTGGATCACAGATGAAAATCTACATACTCAGCGTCATCAGCTGAGTGCCAGGAACTGAGGGTGAATATACTACTCTCAAAATGCAGGGAAAAGAACCTGTGCACGCCCACCAGCCAATTCCTGGTGTGTTTTGCACAGCCTATTCCAAATAGCCCCCTGATGGATCAGCTGTCACACAGCGGTCCGATAAGTTCTTTGACACATTTACCAGCATCCCTGGGGATGATTAGTTCTCACCTGCTCAGAAATGGGGCAATATGCATCAAAGATAATGCAGAAGAAATGACGGATCTCTGTCTGATGCAATTTCTATTAAGTGTATTGCAGTCTGGAGCTAAGGCTGGGCATTTGTAGTTTATACAAATCTACCTCTGGCACTCAGTGTTTTTTGGATATTTTGCATGTGGATGCGTGTGCACACGTGGACTCTGTGTGTGTGTGTGTGTGTGTGTGTGTGTGTGTGTGTGTGTGTGTGT